CACCCTTTTAACATCTGAGCGAGTTAGTCGTTTGCACGCTCTTTGGATGCGTATGAGTCATGTTTGAGTCCAATTTTCCGCTAGAATTGAAGGCTAAGCCAAAATTACTTTTTTTTATGTTGCGTTTCATTGAGTCATCAAACGCCGAGTTTGGGCTAATTTCCTTCTCTCGCCAGCGAAGATTTCGTTATTTAAATGCTATTAACTGTAAAATTGTACATTGGAAAAGTACTCTAAGAATGCTCAAACCCATTGAAATGTTTCTGGTACTTATTTTGAGTTGGGCTATAGTATCATCATAGTGTCCACGCTATGCATCAAAGTCATCATCTTTCGCAGACGCAAATATTGTCACTGCCTTGCGAATTGTGAGAGGTCAGCTTTAGTTTTAAGTAATTGAAAGCTTTGTTTCATTTTTTTTGGTTCAGCAACAAGATTTACTTTATTACATTTTATGCTAAATGCTACTGTGACTGATGTCAACGAAACAGCAGTAGGCGATAGGAAAATATGGGTGTTCGTGATTCCGTCTTTTTGCTTCAAAAGTATTCTCTTTTTCTTCGGTTATTATTTAATTTTTGCTAATTCCAAAATAAGACGAATTATTTTCTCGTAATTTGGCCTACTTCTTCGCTACAATTTTGCGCAGTTTGCATGAAACTACCTTTTCATAGATTGTTTCCCATGGTCTAAAATTATTGGTTTAATATTTTAAACTAAATTTTTGACTTTTTATTTATTTTTAATGGCTTGCATTGGGGAATATTACAATTTTTTCTTGACTACTTGTTGTGAAAGTACAAATTATAAATTAGGGAGAAACGTATTATCTACTTATATTTAATAAGTAACTAACTTGTTTCTTGGTTTTAGTAGTATGAGGGTGTTACATTGGTTCCGAAAAGGTCTCCGTCTGCACGACAATCCTGCTTTATTAGCCACAATTAATCCTCCTAAAAAAGCGACTGAGGAAACCATTGAAATACTCCTCCTTTACGTCTTTGATACTTCAGGCAAAGAATATGGACTAAGAGGTCATCGCCAGGCGCAATTTTTGCTTGAAAGTCTCATCGATTTGGATCAATCCCTCCAAAAGTTGGGAAAAAATTTGCGACTACTAGTTGTGGAAGGCGATCCAATTAAGGTAAGGTTAGATGATGATCCTGCTTATTTCTACCTAACAGAGATGACAGTGCACTTACTAAAATATCATTGTAGGAAGTGCCAGCAATCTGTAAGAGTCTCGATATCAAGTACGTAACTTTTGAGACTGACATTGAACCTTACTCAATAGCACGCGATAATGAAGTGACAAAAGTGCTGGAGGAAGAAGGAGTGACTGTTTCTCGAATACATGGTCATACAATGTGGGATCCCGAGTTTCTGAAATCTCATCATCATCCGCCACCAACTGCGACTAAAGATTCGAACTCCAAAGATCTGGGTTTGTACTGGATTGAATTTTAACTGATCTTCAGTGATGTAGAACTCTATTTGTACTAGTGTAATGCATTATGACCTATTTGTCTACTAAATACCAACAGATGAAGTGGAAACAGAATCGTGAGTGGAGGTCGCATTCATCTGGGACGGTGTGCGCTTGCATATTCTGATGAGGATGTTGAGAGATTTAAAGACCGCTTGTATGAGAAAGCCTCGTTCCAAGACAGAGTATAAACTCTTTGGTTTTTAGCGTTCTCATATTTGCCTAAACTGTGTTTCTAAACAAATTTGCCTATTTTCATATTTAAATTCAAGTAACTTTGTTTCAAGGTGAGCTTGTCACTCACTTAAATAAAACAGATTCCCAACAGAGAACACTATAACTGCTATTGTTAATACCTAAACCACCTTAATCTTAAAATTTCATCTGGTAGTATATAGATGGTTTCTATTGCTCATTTCATTAGTGCAAACAAGATATCATTGTATTTAGAAATCTCCGGATAGGGTTTAAAGTTCTTAAAAAGGTTGATGGTGGTTGTGCTGTTGACAATGAGAATTAGGATCAAATATGGTTTTTTGTGATTTTAATTTTTGATCTTGAAAATCTTTAATGTTATAGGTGTTCCCATGACATATAAAAGTTTTTGTGCCCTCGTAAGACGTGTCTCACCTCAGGGTCCACCGAAACCTCTTCCCTCATTCAAAGAGTATGCAAAGTCCTGCATTGCTCCGAATTTACCTGAACTCAAACTCGACAAGGTTCATATCGGTCCACCCAGTTCATTGGAGCAGCTTAGAATCAAATTCGATCCAATTCCCGAAATAGGTGATCACGTGTCTGATAATGAAGGCGAAAAGTTTGAACTGAACTTTCCCGGTGGAGAAATTGAGGGCCTCAATCGTCTCCAACGCATGGTAAAATTGTTACTTATAACAGTTTAAGTAGATAAATCTGAATATCATTTACACCACATGGAAATCTTATAGGTGGCTCAAAGGGCGGATTGGGTTTGCTCTTTCTCGAAGCCTGAAACTGCTCCAACTAGTTTGCCAATCTCAACGACTGGACTGAGTCCATACATACGTTTTGGTTGTGTTTCAGCTCGTCATGCATGGTGGGTTATTGCGGAGGCTATGCGTCCGTCGTCGAAAGCTTCAAAGACAAAACCTCCAACACAGCCACCCGTCTCACTACATGGGCAATTACTTTGGCGCGAATTCTTTAATCTAGTGGCTTCTGTCACTCCAAGCTTTGATCAAATCGAGGTTAGTTCACTAGATGCACATGCAATTTTTTTAAACGCGTCTACTGGTAATTAAAAGGCAAGATCTGATTTAATCTTTTAGGGAAATCCCATCTGTCGTCCAATAGAATGGAACGTTGACGAGACTCTTCTCTCAGCATGGCGCGAGGCTCGAACTGGTTTTCCATTTATCGACGCTGCTATGATTCAGTTACATCGTCATGGTTGGATGCATCATCTTGCACGTCATTCTGTTGCGTGCTTCCTGACCCGTGGTCAACTCTGGCAATCCTGGACTGCGGGAGCAGATGTCTTCTCTACCTTATTACTTGACGCTGACTGGGTACTAAATTCGGCCAATTGGATGTGGCTATCAGCCAGTGCTTTCTTCCATCAGTACTATCGTGTCTATTGTCCTGTGAGCTTTGGAAGGAAGACTGACCAAGATGGAGAGTAAGTTGGGTTAATATATTCGATGATTCATTCGTGTAATTAACCCTTTTCTTCCTTTATGAAATAATAGTTTCATTCGGCATTTTATACCAGCTCTTCGCAATATGCCTTCGGAATACATCTACGATCCATGGACTGCACCGATATCCGTTCAGAAGAAAGCTGGGTGCATTATCGGAGTTGACTATCCAGATCCGATTATTGATCACCAGGAAGCCAGAACGGAAAATCTTGA